TTTTTTTACGAAATTTTGGGGGTACCCCATTTTGCCACCCCTACCCCATTTTGCCCCCCCCCCTCCCCTATTGTTAAAATATTGCTAAATACAAAATGACGATGTTATCTTTAGCCTTCAATTCTACAAGAATTGCTAAATTTGCAAAATATTAAGCGATGACAATTTTGAAACTCACTTGAATTTTCTGTAAATGAAAATTATGGTATGTTAGTAGAAAAACTTTGTTTTCTAGTTTTTATATTAGATTAAAAAAACGAGAAAATAGTATATTACACACCTAGGGAAGTAAAGTAAGAAATGTCTCAGATCACATGTAATTGTTGTCCGAGGCGAAGCCGAGGTCAACAAACATGTGATCTGGGACATTTCTTACTTTACTTCCCTAGGTGTGTAATATACTATTCATATAACCTGCATTGAAAATGCGAGTTTCAATGCCTGTTGAGCCAACCGAAACTAGAAAATTTCGGACCAATGCGACTGTTGAAGGCAGCAATCAATCATTTCTTCCCGGCGGACAGAAAATGAAGATTTTCTGCCCGCGAGATGAAGTTGCAGCTTTATTTTTAATCCTATCAGAGTATTTTTTGTTTGTTTTATACTTTTATAATTGTCATTCTAACCGTTAACCGTACTGACATATTATAATTCTGTTACTAAGCATAAATAAGAATTACAAAAGAAAACTATTCAATTTACAAATAATATTTAATAAAAAATAAACCATTACTTTCTATTTTATTATAAGTTTTATGATAAAATGGTATTTTCGCTATTCGTCTGAAACTATCTAGTTCTGTTTGGCTCCAGACATTGAAACTAGCATTTTTAATGCAACTTATATGAAAAATATGATGTGCGACGCGGAATGAAACACGATTTCAGATCGAGTGATGCCAGCCCTCGTTTCGCTCGGACAGGCAACTTCACTCTGGTCTGAAATCGTTTTGTTTCATCCCTTGTCACACAATATACTATTGCCATACTTTCTGCGAAAATTCACTTTTCAAGCGTTGTAATTACTATTTCTCACTATACCTGAGTATATCAGGCATTAATAGCCACATATGTGTATTAATGTATTCGACAATATCTTGTTTATTTATTTGGAAGAACCTTACGATTTAACAATCTTTATTATCCACTCATTTTTTTTCGTTGTAAGACCGAATAATTTTATATAATATAACCAATTTATCTATAATTATATATAAAAAATTTTTCTCGAGTATTGTACAAGAAGTATTAAAAAAGCATTAAGAAGTGAAAATATAGAAAAAGTTAATCTATAAAATAATAAAGATAATAAATGTTCAAGTGAAAAGATAATTATAAAGTTAAATAGCTCCGTCGATGCTAGAACATTGGTACTAATCTTTAGATTGTAGCGCAGCAAATTAATGAGCCTGTTATCATAATTAGAGATCGCGTTACAGATGCTAATTAGCCTATTAAGTGATGCAGATTTGATATAATTATTTGTTAATATAAACTGTCAAAAATTAGTTAATTCATCATCATACGACTTACTGACAATATTGTGTTGCGATATGTGCCTTAAATTTGTGGTACGAATGAACAAAACAAATTTAACGAATGTAAATTTAACGTCCAAGAGTAATTACTTAAGTTGGTAAATTTTTCTATTGCTACCTTATGACAAGTACTTACGTCGCGGCTAAATCTACAGAATTCTGAAAGATATGAAGGGTGGGAAGTGAAATTTTATTACATATGTTTATAGAAATCTTTTACTTTTGCCTTTCTTGTCTCTCAGTACAACGTACTCTTAGCCACTTCCAATTATCTATTTCTTCCTCACAGACGATTTATTCAGACAAGTTTTTAAAAGCACTTCTCAAAATTTAATGTGATCAGTATTTTTTGAAATATCAATGATTAAAGTAAAAAATGTCGTTTTACATTCGACAATCAGTATTTCAGCATCAAATGGTCGTAGAGTAACCGCTCAAAAATATTAAAATTGAATTGATAAGCAAACGAACCTTTGTATTCATTTTATCCGGTAATATTTTCCTGATTTAGTTTTTTCGTATTTTTTTTTATCACACGATGAGTATCAATGAAAAAAAAATTTACCTTGGCTATCAATAAACGGTGCCTAAATGCCAGTATAACTAGATTTGCGGATTAGTATGGATAATTTTCGTCCACAAACGAGGAACGAGGTGATTGTATTATAACCACACTTTACAATAATCCTTTTCCAGAAATAAATCATATTTAATGCCTATAAATGCACTTATGCAGATGATAAAACCAACCAAAATTAATAAAAATCGAATGTATTATAGGATACGAGAAACATATACCACGTGTTTCATACAACCAGATTGGTTTGATGAACACTTTGTATACATTATTAATGTTCAGCGAAAGGTTAGATTTTATACAGACATAAAACAGTGTAAACTTTAGTTCAAAAATTGTACTCTCACAGTTTCAACTCGCTTATGATCGAATAATAAATCCAACGATTCAGCAACAACTTTGTATCAATAATCTAAAACCATTTGATGTACTTTTATTATACCTTCAAAGGTATTAAATCTCATGCGTCAACCAAAAAGAAATAAAAAAGTATAAACGAACTGGCATGAGAAATCGATTCTAAACTTTTTCAGCAATTTGGATTGCGTATGACTACTTTTTATGACACAAATAAACTATATTTCACCATAAAAACTATTTAACAATATCAGTAACAGATTGCAGTTAAAGCTATAAAAAATAAGTAAAACTTTTATGTGAAATATATATCTGATACAAAGCATGCTTTGTCGTTACAATTTACGATAACAACCACAGTTTTTCTACCAAATCACAATGACATTTTCATATGCTTTAAGTGAATTAGCTTAGTAACTGTTAATATGCAATAGAAAAAAATAAAAATTCAAGAGAAGTAGAATAAAACATTTCTGATTAATTCAATTTCGTAGGGTGAAACTGAATGAACTTGGTATCGCCGTAGAAAATCATATCATCTAAAATTTGTTTCATAAAGTAATTACTCTATACTTTATGTTCATGACATCAAAGATATGAAATTATTTTTAAATCCTGAAACTTTCAAAAAAATATAAGAAACTGTTACTTTTGAATATATTCTGCCAACAAGAGACCAACCATCTTGTATTTTATTTATAAAATAAAACCGAACAAATCGACCAATTTTGACGGGATCGGCGGCGTTCGATGCAGTTTTTTGAGCACTTGTAGTTTTCCTTCTACACTGGAAACGATTCAAGAAGAAATTTTTCGTCTTCGATTTCTCTTCAAAGCATTACCAGATTTTGATGTGGTTTGCGGGAGTCAATATCATTGCTTGAGCTTAAGAGCTGATGAGGTAATGGAATTGATCGGTAAAGCAGCTCGAAATTATTTTGAACAAACAAGATTTCCTAAAAATTTTTTTTGGTTTTTTGGAATTTCTCAAAATCTATCGCACCGAATTGATTTAAACCTTCAAGGAAGTCTAAGTTTCGCTGAACCCTATCGAATGATACCAATCAAGTTCAAATCGGTTGAGCCGTTCGAGAATTATAAAGAGCTTACGCACACACACACACACACACACACACACGCGCGCGCGCGCTTACATACATATGACGAGACATCCTCGTAGGAGTAGTCAGAACTGCTTCCTAGGACCTTAAAACGTGAAGATCTGATAAAAACTCGATTTTCGAAAACTTGAGTGAAAACAATAATTTGGCATACTAGTACATTATAATAAGAAAATAAACCAGTTAAATTTTTAAAGAGCTTAAATTGTATGCACAGTCAATGAATATTTAGTTAAATTTCTCATACATGTACAATAAAATCTTGATTTAATTGCGGAAATAATGTCTTAATTTTTCATGTATCATTAAGAAAAGTAAATAATACAACCTACTAAATTAAATCGAGGTTTTTTATAAAAAAATTTATGAAAAAAAAAATACTAATACCATATTTATTATGTTTTATAGCCGCTTATCTTCCAGTTTCAAACACAATGCGTCATTTGTCAGTCGATTGCCAACGATCCGTCGTCACAAAAGTACATCACTTCATAGCCCAGGTACTCATAAGCTAGCTCATCATAATTATCAACGTGGTACCGCTTCACGCACATTTACTGATCTCATCGTTTCTACTGAAAACTTAGGTGAGTCCATTTAAATCTACATATTAATTTTAGATTTCAATAAATTATCTGATTCAAGTATTAGCACATTTGAATTCTTTTTATCTCTGCACGTCGATAAAAAATTTAGATTTGCATTGATAAATTGAATAAATATATTACCTGTCGTGATGTAGGTCCGTTAATGTTGATAGGATTAAATCATAATCATGGGATTTTGTGCAACGATGGGAATGAAGCCGGAAAAAACCTAAATCCAAGTTATTCCGAGGACTCAGTAGCTGAAACAGCGTTGTCGAAGAAAAATTCAGATGGTAAGTACCATTATGTTTACCCTAGATGTCATAGATTGTGAATTATTACGAAATCGGATCTATAGATGAAGACGATGAGCCACGAAGGTGTGTCCATTTGACAAAACAGCACAAGACTGCTATTCGAGCCATTCGAAAGGTAAGTTCAGTACGTTAGTACTTTTTTTATATATCATTTTGAATATGTTATTCGATGCGAAATTTACATTGTTATTAATTCATTTAATTCTATTTGAGGATGACACAAAATTTTGGTTATTTTTTTCTTCTATAAAAATATGTTAATTTATTAATCAACTCGATTTTTTTCGGGATTCAGAGGATCGTTCTGGTATAGATGCTCGAAAATAAGGCTGTGTGACGTTCAGAAAGACGCATACAGTCCCTTAGCATAACTGATTCACGAAAATCGCTCAACAAACTAAACTGAACTTGACTTGATTCACGGAAAAAAATAATCGGTAACGTTTATCGATTTTTTCGGTGGAGGTTTCTGATAAAATTGATTGAATATACCAAAAATATCAGTTTTAAAAATTTTGAAATCAATTGAAAATAAACTGACCTCATTATATCAAAGTGAAAAACATATTAAAATTTCAGCGTCTAAAATGACATATTTTATCCTATTTTCTGGATTAACGTTAGGTGACTTGATACCTTGAAATGAAGTTTGGAAGATTTATGTAAAATTACGTCAAAAAGTTTACATTGTAACAGCCTAAAAATTACTATACGTAATCATTTTACTGTGACGAACAAAATTGTTAAAGATTACAATTATTTTTATATTAAGTTTGTGGGATCATTGACAATAAAATCGCATATTAGTATGATCACTCAAAAAAGGAGGTGAATCATTTTTATAATAAGGGCACAAGTGTTTCTTATGTAACTATTATGACTTGGTTATGCTAATAAGACACTATGCATCTCAGTTAGCCATAAAAATCCACAGTCTTTTACATTTACTTCCGAGTATCCAAATTGAAAGAGAATTAGTTCGTAAATTCTAAATTTCAAAATCACGGAGAAGCTCAGTTAGTACTATTCAGACATTAAGGTAAGTGCCCACTACCGGATGTTTGATGTCGATCGAACTGTTCTTAATAATTACATCAATTAAACGATAATAGAGTTTACGGCAGCTGGAGAGGTAGCAACTATGTCTACAATATAACAGGTGTATAATGATTTCAATATTATTTGAGAGAACTATTATTTTAGTTAAGTTAATATAACGAAGCCCTATTCACCCTTAGACTAAAATGGGCCCCTGTTTCCCAGATAGAATAACAAGTAAGAAACACTGGAGATGTCACAGCTGTTTATGTAAATTATTTTAAGAATTTATTTTCACAGATATTGTTAGATAATTTATTCAACTCGATAAATATATATAAAAAAACTGTTTTTATTAATTTTAAATAATTTTTATTCATAAAAAAATTAGCAAACATAAAAAAGTAGATGACACTGTAATGTTGATATTTAAATAACTGAGAGAAAAGTACTTAGTTAGCTGAATTATAACATCAAAAAAATAAAAAATTTAGTTTTCTGAATTTTTTTTGTAGTTACTCGAACTATGCATTAGTTGAAGTAACTGTTGATAAATAGTTATATGGACCATATTTTTATAAAATATTTTTCTGTTATCGGGTTAAAAAAAAAGTTATTAGGTGACTAAAAATTTGTTACGGTCCATGTCTCAGATAACTTTACTAGAAGAGCCCTTGGTGCGTAATCAAAAAATTCGAGTCTATATTTAATTAAAAATAGTTGAAGTAACTATGTATTAAAGTTGTAACTATCTACAATAAACAAATAATTTTAGGTATAAAAACTTCAACTAAATAGTGATGATGCGATTTAACTAGTTTTTCCTAGTTCAAAGAACCATATTTTTGTCTCAGTATACTGATCAAAAATGAGTAGATTAGAATGAGTCAAATACAGTATGACTATGGTATACTACAATTATTAACATTTATCGGTAAATAAAAAAATATCTGAAATTATAAAAAAAAAGTGAAGATTATCATTTTCTATAAAATATAAGTGTTCGACATAAATAACAACATTTATTATGTATTTTGGGAGTATTTATTGAACTCAATATATTTTATTTCAATGCCTTTGATAATTTCTTTGAAAAATTTACATGATTAAGCATTTTTGAGAATCTAAACGAGAATGATCCCTTAAAGTTGATAAAATAACATACTTTTATAGAATACTTGAAAAAACAATTAGTCTTTTTTTGCACCATCCTCTTATCCATATTTGTAATATAGCTGGTCTTACTTCCTTTGTTTGTATACAATTTAAATTATTTATATAACATTAAGATTATGTAATTTTTTCAATTTTTATTCGATTTTGAATATTTTTCACTACTTTTTTTACAATAACCAATAAATTTGCAATGAAGAATATAATTTTTTTAGTGAGATGTAAAAATACAACTGTATTAATTTTCGTTGTTTTTCCCGCGGTCAATTCTAATTTTATTTTCTTTTTGAATTGTATTTAAGATTTTTTTTTTCTTTTTAAAAACACTGTTACAAATTGGCAATAATTTTAACGAATGTATCTATTGAATTTATTACAATGGGCAAGGAGCCAAAATTAAATGAAATATAGAGATTGGAAAACACATTTCTCTATTGTTGATAGCTATTGTATTGTCAGTTTAAATAAAAGTAAAAAAACTTTAGATGAAAGAATAATTTTGACAGAAAAATAAATGGGTAGAATAACAAAACAAAATTAAAGTCTTTTTAAAGTTATTACTTGGATTAATTTATGAAAAATACGCTGAGAGCGAACGAATGGTTGTGAATTAAATGATCAAGTCTGATGAGAATGAGAATGAAAAGAACATAGACATTTTAATAAGTAATTATGGTTTTAGAATATAATACAGACTATACAAGATTGAAATGGTACAAGTTTATAATTACCGGATTACTCTATATTTTAACTGATAAATAATTATCGATATCAGATAAAATTCTTGGTGGCAAGACGCAAATTCAAAGAGGCTCTGAAGCCGTATGACGTTAAAGATGTGATTGAGCAGTACAGTGCAGGCCACGTCGACCTCATCAGTCGAGTTAAAAATATTCAAAATAGGTATCCCAAATATCATGGTATCTGTTCGTTCGCTGTTGGTAGTAATGTTACTCAAATTTTTTAAATTACATATGTATAATACCTATTTTTATAAATCTTTATATCTATTTTAGGGTATTTCGTTTTTGGCGAACATTTTATTCTTTTTTATTTCCTTGTTAAAATTTTTTTACTACTCACTAAGAAAAAAATTTTCCTTCAAATTTGAGTCCAAGAGTATGCAAATCGAATAGTGATATCAGATTAAAATAGTTTATACTCTAAAGAAAATAGTAGATGTAGTAAAAAATGAAACAAGACGATTTCAAAAGATAAAGATACATTTATTGAACAAGAACTAGACGGTTTGCCTTCGAGACGAAACTTATCGGATTTTTCCCACAAACATCAGTCGTTGGGATGTGAAAAATATATAATATGCTTAGAGATACGAAATGGCACACATGTTTATGATTGACAGGTACAAAGGATATCTTTTTCAACAAATAAGTTTTTTCTAGACAATTATTATCCTATACGTCATGACCTATTCGTATACTATTAAATAAAACTCTCAGTAATTATTGAAGTTTTCGGTTGCTTCTTTTGACACGTTACGAATAACAGGCAAAATTAGATAAATTTGAATTGATAACTCTCACTTCAGGTTATGTCACATTTAATACGGAATTTTTTAAAGATTTATCTTATCTCAAAAATTTTTTTACTTGATCATTTTCAACTGTTGATAATTCTTACATGCTCGAATTGGAATCTAGTCAATTTTTTTTTCAAAATCAATATTTAAACCTATAATTAATTTAAACTTCAAATCAACTTAAGAAATCTGGAAAACAGTTAACCCTGCAGGTCATCCCGAGAAATGATCTATTCCAAGGTTTTGAGCTCTTCGAGCTCACAAACAGCACTGTTATACTTTTTCGAGCTCTTTCAGCTCGAAAGACTAGTGGTCATTAAATACATACTTTTTCGAAAATTTTTCATTGCGATATCTTCCGATCCAATCAATCGTTGTAGATAGGGCTTATAGCATTCGACGCAGTTTTACAAGTACAATAAGATTAATCACTATCATTACCAACCAAGCGATTTGACGTAAAGTTTTGAAGTTATATAAAAAAAATCTCTTTTTGGAATTTTTAAAAACCATCAAATATCTCACGAAGCAATTTACTGATCTTGGCGGGGTTTGATGCAGTTTTTGAGAACTAATGGTCATTAAAGTACATTAAAAACGTTCTGATTGGAAATTTCAAAGTTATTTAGAAAAGACACATATTTTGAAATTTTTTGTCAACGATATCTCACGAAAGAATAAATCGATTTGAAATTTTTGAACGGCATTCGACATCATTTTTTGAGCTTGAGAGCTGACTAGGTTATGGAATTGATCGATAAAGCGGCTCGAAAGTTATTTTGAAAAAACAAGATTTCGCAACTTTTTTTTTCGGTTTTTTTTTGGAATTTCTCAAAATCTGTCGCACCGAATTGACTTAAACCTTCAAGGAAGTCAAAATTTCGCTAAACCCTATCGAATGACGCCAATTCTGATGAGAACTCGATTTTCGAAAATCAGGCTGAAACCAATAACTTCCTAATTTTTGAGAACCATTGATTTTCATAGCGGGAAGTTAAGAAATCAATCTAATCGAATCTTCAACTCAATTTCTAAATTCATGTTAAAACACAATTCTATAATCCTGAGCGTTGATTGTATACCAAATCTGTTGTAAAAAATTTTTTTCCGATTTGCTTCTTCCCTTTGAATTATTGTTACGTTGGGATTGGGAGTCTGCAGAAGTAAGACGAATATATTACAATTTTAAATTATTTCAACTTTAAGTCGACTTATCGTGAAATTAATTTTTATCAAAATATTTCAGCTCAAGAAATTCGTCCTTTCGATTATTTTTATTTTGTGTTAAACTTCGTGAACAAGATTACGCTGCCTTGGCTTTGTAGCAAGTACAGGAAATTGAAAAAAAAAGCTCAGAAACTTCAAACTAATTAATATTGATAATCTTATTCCAATAATTAATATACGACTTTAAAAGAGGCTTAAGTTTGAAGCAAATTCGATTCCTAGCCGATATGTAACCAAACTTTGAGTAGGAATAAAGAAAAAAAGTTCGCCAGAAATAAAATTCCTATAATAACTCAAACTCAAAAAAGTCTTAAAATATACAAATATGGACTATTCATAGTTAATTTATAATATAATAGATATATTAATGATATGTTATAATTTTCAACGAAATCGAAAGGGGTCAGGTTCAAAAGTGGTCGATTTGGAATGGCATGCTCCCTATATTATAAATTATAATTAAACAAAAAAATGTCAATCAATTCTTTTTTTACTGCCTTACATTGAGGGGATTATTTACTTTTAAAATATTGAAAAAAAAATGAATTTTATCTCGTGCTTATATTATTGAAAAATTTGATTTAAAATAGAAATGTGACTACGATCAGCATTTTAAACATAATTTCGGTAGATATTACTTTCCTAATTTCTTAAATCCTTGGTCATAGTAAAATACAAATAACGTAACATAACAATATTTTATCGTTTTAATTTTATTTATATATTTGAGAACACATACATAAAAACTTTAATCTCTTAATCATCTGTAACGGATAAAAATTATAATTTATTTTTATTGCTTAGGAAGTTTAAATCGAATAAAATATTTGAATTATTTAAAAAAAAAAATGCAATTAAAATTAGTAGTTCAGGTCCATATTTGTATATTTTAATGTATATAACTTATTTTTCTATATTTCAATCTCTTTTCGACACTTCGAAATATTTTTATGATTCTACACTTGTTTATATTTTAAAATTTTATCCATGTGTTTTTGCTATTGATACTTTTTATTATTCACAATATTCACTAATATTTGATATAAAAAAAAACTCTATTCTCTTTTGATAGTAGGTAGCATATCTTGTTTGTTTTAATAAAAAAAAAAAATAATCTACGTACTGTAAAGCACATATTTTTTATTACGTACACTTCTACTTTACGATAAGATATTCTTTCTTTCATTATATTTGCACTGTTACTTGTGTTTTTAAATCACATAGATTCAATAAATTTAGATACATCATAAATAAAAATCTAAAGAATATTTATTTAAATGATTCCATGTTTATTCAGCATGGTAGTAATTATATTCGCATTCTCTAGGTATTGTTTTATTCTCTATAGAGAGTATACTCTACATTCTTTGAATTAAATTTTTATACAAAACAATTTATTCTTTTAAAAATAGTGCCATATTCATATAATTATTTTTTTTTTACATCAAAAACATATTTTTCAAGCAATAAAATTATAATTATCATTATTATAAAATTATATACTTTTTTTACGGTAATCAAATCGAACCACTTGATATTATATTTTACGAATATCACATCGCGCATCTAAAAATATCATTAATTTTCAAATGAAAATAAAATTTTTTTCAAGATAAAAATAAATATTATAAAAACGATCTGTATTGTCTAATGGTATGTCATTGTGCGGGTGTAAAGTTTTTTGGCTTGCCTAGCTTCGGGGTTTGTAAATTTCTTTTGAATTTAAACTTCAAATCAGTAAAATGAATAAACAAAAAAATTCATTTTATGTTACTTGTACTTGCATAAAATCATTTATATACTTTTGATTTGTACATACAAAAAGTTAAAGTTAAAACAGTAAAGAAAAAATACTGTTAAAAATTTAAAAAAAAAAAAAAAAAAAGAGAATTACACCCTCAATATATATATATATTCCACATGGCAACGTGTGTTATTACCACAGCTGAAATACTTCGTGGCCCGCAAGAAGTTCAGAGAAGCTCTAAAACCTTACGACGTCAAGGACGTGATTGAACAGTACAGCTCTGGACACGCGGATCTTCTGAATCGCGTGCGAAACCTTCAATTCAGGTACTTTTAAATCCGAGAGAGTACCTCTTTAGTAAATTCATAAGAGTAAGAATATATTCACAAAAATAGTTTCTCATGTTGCACTGTGAAAAATCGTTACATTAAAAACTAAAATTTCTTCAAAACAAACTACTTTTCTGTTAAATTAACTACATTATATTTAACGGTTTTAAATCTTAATGCACATAAAATTAGATTGTCCGTTTTATAACTAATAGCTTTTTATCAAAAGGATTGAAATATTTTCACTATTGATAAAAGTTCTTAAAAAATCATCAATTCAATAGTAATTTTTAAAATAATTTAAGCTCAAAATGTTACATGGTTAATAGACAGAAGTAATCAATAAGTGAAAAATATTAAGAGCTGTTACAATCATCTGAAATAACCACCTAAAATTAGTCTGAAGTTTTTTTATAACACCACATATCCACTATTTTAAAACCGACTGAACTTGCATGTCTCGAAACTCTGAGCGTTGATGTGTTCTCCTGAGTTGAAGAGTAGCACAATTAGTTTAAATTGCTTAATTTGCTAGCCAACTGGTGAAAATGTCACAAGCCATTATCAAAGTATAAAATTTCGTATAAAAGACAAAATAATTACAAATTGATTTTTATATCTTAGAATGATTGATAATAAGAGTACGAGTTAAAATATTTAACCTGGATTAATTCTCAGAGAACTCAAGTAAACTCCTATCCAGTTAAACTAACTTTTAAAAGTATATCGACGTTGTAATTAGCAAATTGTCTAACACCACATTTTTTAGGACGTGATTACGTCAAAGTGATGAAATCACAACTTGATACTACAGTTTCCAATTTTACAACTAACTACTGAAAGTCTTCGTACTCGCGGTAGTGGGAACCGTGTCAATTGGTATTTAAATGTGAGAAAAAACACGACTTGTATGGTAATTAGAATTTTTATACGAAATGTCAGAATAAAGAATGGCTCGAACTACTTAATAACCAATTGAATAAATCACTCTTAACATTGTTACTACGAAATTATACCTGTGTTGACAGCTCGGTAGGGTGTACTGGAACATCTGTTGGTAGTTGACTCGTGCTAAAGATAATGAGCACTGAGATGACACAGGGATACAATGAGGGTTGATACCGGATTTATTTATTAAAATGATTTGTTAACTTCAACAATTCGTGTTTATATTTTAATTTATGGAACAAAATGAAATAACGACAATCAAACAGTAATTCCGATAATGATATACATGGGTGATTCTCTGTAAGGATGTTTTTTGCTGTCCCAGGCATTTTTTTATTAGAAAAATTGTTATTTTGTTACTAAAAAAAATTTATTACGAAAGTAAAAAAACATTTCTATTTGGAGCATTGAAAACTAAAATGGAATAAATTTTGGTTTTTTTGCTATAAATTCGCAAACCACCAAAATCTCAGTCCCCTGGGCTGTCCCAGTCCCAAAATTAAAACTTTAAGATTAAATTTTAAGTTATTCGTCAATAATATATAATTTGGTCCATAATTTTTATAAACTTAATTAGTTAACTAACAATCTTCTTCAATAAAAAGTACCGAAAGTTAATTTATTTCATTAAATTCATTAAACCAAAGTATGTCCCAGGCATTCGAGATCAGTCCCCTGCCAGAAGTTCAAAGCCAAAAAAAAAAAAAGTCTAGCCTGTTATCTTACCTTTTGTAAGGTTTATAAGGATCTAACTAGCCTTAAGTTAATAACCATAGAGCTGTTAGCCCTTTATCGCCATTTTATTTAGTGTTAAAGCACCGTTTGTGCTGGAAATATGTGTCTGGGCCACTTCAAAACTCAGTCCCCTGGCAGCTATTTTTGTTTATAATTTATTTATAAAATTGGATCCATAAGTCTTAATATTATTCTAATTAATGTAAACATTCATTGAGAACTTAAAAAGTTGAATGCATTGAAATAGTTTGCTTGATTTTTCTCAATTTGATAAAAAAAATCAGTCCCCTGTCATGTTATATGGCAAAAGATACACAAATATCGAAAAAGCAAAAATTAATTCGGCTGTTTATTTATTATAATTAAGCTGATAGTTTTGTAGCCCTTGTTAATTTTGTTTCTAATAAAATCAAAAAAAATTTGGTCGGACAGTTTTGTACAGATTTAAGACGTCCTTACAGAGAATCACCCACATATACTTGTAACTGACTGGAATTTCTATACTCTTAATCGCAATGACAATAATTCGACACAACATAATGAATTTCGAAAAATACAAATATATTCTTTTGTTCAACTGAATCAAAATAACCTATTAAATGATAAATATGGAGATATTATTGTAGAGATACGTACGTACACTGTTAAAAATTTTCGGAGTGAACGTGGAGTGGATGATTTTTAATTGATTTACTCCCTCCGGAAGTTAAATTCACTTCGAGACGAATTTAAATTATATTATTAATAGATTTCACTCCGCGGAATAAATTTTTTATTTCTTATTTTGAATAAAAATAAAAAAACAGTTTTGACTCGTTTAAAAATTATAAAATGCATGTTTAGAGATTTTAAAAATTATAATTAATAAACCGCTTTTAGTTTTCTATGGAGACTGTTGAACATTTGAAAATTATCAATTTATATAAATGTTTGATATTTATTTAAATGGACGATATTTTTTACATACAAGTAAGTAAGGGTTTGAAAAATGATTAACATTGAAAGCGTGTAATTGAATTTTAAAATATTTCCATATATATATATATATAAATTTTATTTTTCACTAAAATATGGAATGTCTGTAGCAGTCAATATAATAATAAATTATCTTACATTCAGCTACGCTACTCCAATAAAACGGCCGAACAATATCATAAAACACTTTCAAATCATTGAATTTAATATTCTATCAGAATGAGTCTACTACTTTTATATGTTGATGTAATATTTTTTCTTAATGCAACGTGATGAAAACATCAGTCTACAAATTTTTATATATAAACCCCTTTATGCCAACCTTCCTAACTGAAAATTTCGACTCTCTACGAATTATTTGCAGCGATTGTTTAATTAAATTATTTATTTTTTTAATATTTTTTTTTCGAGTGTTGAATAAAATATTATGTGATAAGCGTGCAAAGTATAAGCAAATTTTGATTTAAGCATGGCTACATCATTAATTTCGTTGTTAGAAGAAAGTGTTAATTATTAATAAATACTTATGTTTTTATTTGAGAATGACATGCTGGATATTGCTTCTATATTATCACCGCCACTATGTTTAATTCCATAATTTGAAAAAAGTTTAACATTATGTTTATATGAATTAGAAATTTGGCCTATTTTCGGACGAAGACTAGTGTTTTTCTAATTTAAGTCTAAAGATGGATCTTTCATCTTCCCTTTTGATCGAGAGCTATATTTTCTCTTCACAGTAGTTCGATGGGTATCCATCAAACTTAAATACTAGTAAAGCTGGAAGCTTGTAGTATCTGTTCGAGTTATGAGGATGTTAATTAAGTGAAAGATAGTGGAAGAAAGTAGAATGGAAGGGAGAGTAAGTAAGTACTGAGAGTATAAGTATAGACTGAGAGAAAGTGATGGTAGAGGGGACCCGGTAGCTTAACTGGTAGAGCTCCTGACATGTTATCAGGGAGATCCAGGTTCGATTCCTGGCTTGGTAACCAACCCCATTTATTTTTTCAAAGTCTGTCTTTGCTCTCATTCAATTTTCTTTCACTATCTTTCACTTGATTAACATCATACCTCGAACATATACTACAAGCTTCCAGCTTTACTAGTATTTAAGTTTGATGGATACCCATCGAACTACTGTGAAGAGAGAATATAGCTCTCGATCAAAAGGGAAGATGAAAGATCCATCTTTAGACTTAAATTAGAAAAACACTAGTCTTCGTCCGAAAATAGGCCAAATTTCTAATTCATATATACTATCATGTCGGTCCAAAAATATATCATTAATTATGTTTATATTTTTTACATCTTTAGTAACAATTTCCTTTATAATGTTGAAAAAGTCTTGTCACGAATGAACTTACATTTTTATTCTATCAATAGGCGTTGATTCATTGAACCAATATTATCAAATAGAACCTTTGATTTTGTCACTAGACATTTTTGTAATTTATCACAAAAAATTGGAAAACAATTTTTTATTCATATATCAACGTCTAAAAGATTGACATGAAACAGGTGAGATTTTATTTTGGTCGGCCAGGGTGGAATGTCTCAATAATAGGTACACTGAAAAGAAAAATTAATAATACTTGATTCGATAAAATTAATTTGTTCAAAATTTACTCCAAAAAATGCATTTATAGAATCAGTTAATTATATCTCTTGAATAAAAAACAGAGTATACCCCATTTTATATTTTTATTCTTCGATGAAGAACTTTATTGAGCTCGTGTTCAACCAAAATCAAGTTCTCAAATGAAAAAAAAAGACTATTTTCAATTGAAGAATTTGAATTATTATCTTAAGGAGGTATTGCGCCAAGAAAAAGACACCAACAGGTTATGGCTATTGGTTTCTTTCTCACACACTAGTGCTGCCTCTATCTACAGACTATCGCTCACTTACTTCCACTCATGTAAAATATCGAAAGGAACTGAATTGATTCAAATTTTCACGAAATTTAATGGCAATGATACTCTTTGGATCACCACCTATTTCGATCCGATCGGTGAAGCCGTTCAAAAGTTATAAGAAGTTTACATACATACATACACACACACACACACACACACACAGCCGCACGAACACCATCGCGGAAATAGTCAGAGAAGCTTCCTGTGACCTTAAAACGTCGAGATCTGATGAAAACTCAATTTTTGCAAAACGGGGTGAAACCAACAACTTCCTGAATTTTGAAAATCTTCGATTTTCTCAGCGGGAAGTTAAAAATGAATACCACTTGTTTGTGTTATTTTTTGATAAAAATACTTGTTATAACTTCAATTAAATATTCTCAGTTTTTCAAAAAAATCCTAAGAAAAGTATGGTTGTTATTCAATAAAATGCTCACTCTAACTACGGTCAGATTAGGGAATACATGTTAAAATACGATTTTTAATTGCTAATACTTCGAAAATTAGCACCGCAAGGACTGTTAAAAAAAATTTATTCGTATAGAGGATACTTAAAAGTACGCGTATTCAAAAATTGAAGAATATTGTAAGAAAAGTGATTTTACACAATACCTCCTTAAATTCTTAAAGCTAGATATTTAGTTTTTTTAAAATGACATTTCCTGAATCAAATTAATTTTTCTATCAAAGTATCAACAATTTAATTAAAAAATCTAAATAAAAACAACGGTGGGATCAACTCCTAAAACTTTCTGTTTTAATTGTGATTGTTTTGTGAATTGTTTAATAAATAGAAAGTTGACACTCCCAAAAAAACAAAAGCACCCATGAAACAATAACGACATCAACAGCTCACAACCACTGTCACCAATTTCAACATTCGATTTTGTGTTCAATAAAATACAACTTTTACTTTTTTTTCTGTATGTCTCTTCTATTCTTCCGTGAATGAAATAATTCACTTAGTTAAATTTTTATTTGTGTCAGTTGCAAGCTTATTCGAGAAAAAACATAAACTACGATCGCAATCGCAACTACTGTCTACTCACTGTAGCTTTTTTTCCACGTTCAATAGACTAATAAAATATGGCGTATTAATGTCTGTTTATATATTATTAGATTATTATTTTGCACGCAAAATACAATTAATATGCTTATGTATTTGATTAAAAATAATGTCAAAGTATTATGCTTGCAAAATTAATGCAGTTTATTATTAAACATAGGTCGATAAAAACTGATATATTGTTGTACTTTTTTCTCTTAGATTAGATCAAATTCTTGGACGACAGGGCTCAAAAGCAAGAGATGTATATGTATCCAAAATCAGCCTTGCATCCAGAGTCGTAAAAGTTGAAAGACAGGTAGTTGTTTTTCTATAATTCTATAAGATCATTTAATTCTTTTATATATATTTTATTAAAATTATATTAATGCAGGATGTATAATGTCAATTTTTTAATTGAAAAAAATTCTGAAATGTCGAAACTTGAGATTGATAAAAATTTTAACTCTATCATATGTGTATAAATCTAGTATTGAAATCAGTATATCAGAAATTGTTTTAGCTACCTAATTGATTTGTTGCTAATTGGTTGCTCTAACTAGAATTTTGTTGCTTGGTTAATTTCCAAGTAACCACCGATAACGTCGATCATTGCTAGATTGTGTAAATGTCAGTTTTACACACGTATCATAGAGTTTTAATTTTTATCAATTGCAAGTTTCAGAATTTTTCCGTTCCCTCATCACGGTTTTGGAAATGCCGCAAAGATTCGGTATTTATACGATATAAATGATGTATGTTTACCGTGATACTTTAGTTATTTTAGCCAGTTTTTTTTTTCGAATTATTACGAAATAAATTCAGAATATTTACGGCAATATAATAGGAAAATGGTAACGCATTATGGTAAACGCATTAATACTGAAAATTTACGGTATTTCAAAAACTGCGAGGGTTCTGGTCGAATGATGAACACTAAAAAAAAAGTGTGTGTGTGTGTGTACTTGTGTACGCACGTTAGAAGTTATACTTCTTTGGCGTAACAAGATAAAAATCTTTCTAAATATTTTATCTATCGCGTTATCCTACGTTTGTAGAGAAAACGACACTAATAATAGAAAAAAGGGATATAATACATTGGAAGTTTTATTATTACGCATTATCTAGTTAAATAAAGTTTATTTAAATATCATACAAAAATTATTTCTACATAATTAAAAAAATGTGGAAATCGGTTGACCGTGCAGGCCAACCCTAGAACTTCGTGCTAAGTTTGCATTTCAAGCACCTTAAAATGTGTTTTTTGATTAATATTTGAGCTTTTCAAGCTCAAAGCACAGTTTTTCACATTTTGAGCTCTTCAAGCTCAAAATGTATTTTATTAATCACCGATAACTTTTCAATGTGTCGTTCGATTTTCTTTTTTAAAAAAGCATTCAACGCAGTTTTTAAAGCACAATAAGAAAATGTACAGGTTTATATTGATTGGTTGAGAAATCTCGAAGATATCATAAAAAAAAAATACCGAAAAACAAAATTTTACGAATTTTTGAAGGACTATAATTTTTGAATGCGTCGTTCGATATTTATTTTCAAAATAGCATTCGACGCAGTTTTTTAAGAACAAAAAATGTATACGTAGTTTTGTTATGATTTTTTCGCACGCTTTTGAGTTATTTTTAAAAAACATAAAAATTCAAATTTTTTTTTTAATTTCTTCGGAATGACTTGATAAATTAACTCTTAAATTTAATCAGGTCTACGTTTTGATAGACCCTTTCGAATGATAAGAAACATCGTAGAACTCAATCGGTTGATTCATTTTTGAGAAACCGTGCGACAAAAATTTATTGATTCACACACACACACACACACTCGGCCGGACACCTCGGCGGGAATAATCAGAATGGTTTTTTGGGACCTTAAAACGTGGACATCCGATGAAAACTCGACTTTTGAAAATCGGATCGAAATCAATAACTTCCCACTATTGAAAATTTTCAATTTTCTTAGCGGGAAGTTAAAAATATATATTCATATGAAATATCGTGAATACAGTTGCCAGTTCTCACGCAAGCAAACGTAGATGTACTTATTTTTATTTTGTTGGTAACTTTTTTTAAGAAACTAAAATGTTGAGTAGCTAACTTCAGGGTGTCGGTTTTTCGTGATGGTGTATGCGCGCATCGTAAAAATTTACCCTCATCATTTTTGTCTAACGCGCCAAAAGAAGTATAACTTCAAAAAGTTTACCTTCAATCCTTTCTTGATAAATCTATCGAAATTTACTCCATAGTTTTTCATGATTACTCATTACGATAAATGCCATTGTAAATTATTATATTTTATTATTTTTTAATTCAAAAACCGACCGGGAATAGATCCCAAATTATTATACTCTGTAACACACCGGGCTCTCCCAATTAAACTATGTGAAACATTGCACTGAATTACAATTCAACAGCTTGTAATCTATTTATTTATATGAACTAACATAATAAGAAATTTTGATCTGTTTAAATATAATCAAAATTTTTTAAAATGAAACATATAATACTGATACAAAACTCCAGGTTGATGACATCGAAACAAAACTGGACCAACTAATAGAATTATACGTGGAGGATCGTAAACGTTTTTTATCACTTCCATTACCAAAAATGGAAACTCGTCATGTGCCTCATTCACCGTCGGCTTCTACTGAAGAAACAAATGTCACAACAGTTCTTAAGCCGATTTTGGTTGACAAACAATTGTCAGAACCAAGTTCTCCTACATCTAAAACGATACGATATACAAAACAACAGAAACCTCGTCAAATATATCGAGGTTATTCAGATCTTGGAAGCAGAGTCAAGAAACGAGTTACCCTTAGGTTTTTCTTTTTTATTAGCCACTTTTGTTTTCTTTTCTTACGACTTTAACTGTTTGATGTCTAGAGTTTACATATTTTTATTATCATTGTAAATTGCAATATTTTAATAACACAGCTCAATAACGTCGAACTTGGTACATTTGGATGAAGCTTCGACAGCAAGGTCATCAAGTGTGTACTCGACGACATCATTGCCACCTTCAAGAGAGGATGGAGTAATTATCATTGTGCCTACACTTCCAGATAGAACTGAATCATTGTCTTCAACACACCAAAAGTCATCGTTGAACGGTGATTTTGGTAAATTTTTATGCTCTTTATATATTGTAACTATTAATATAACGTTAAGAGACTACAAGAGACATGACTAGGATTTTAATTTCTTTAACCACTAAACGTATCACTCGCTCTGCCCGCCCTCATTCCTTTAAAAATCCCGCCATTACTCAGTTGACTAATCAACAACCGAATCAAAAGGTTACAGAAATTACGTAAAACGACTAAATATCCACAATAAACTTTTTAGATGATGATTTTTAGTAGATTTCATAGAGCAATTGCATTTGTCCTCATGACAAAACTTTTGAAAAATTTTACTATTTCCTGACTCAGAATACTAAGTTCTCAAATTTAATAATTAATTTCAACTTATGGAGCGAATCACTCGAATACACTATTTATTAATAGTCTGAAAAATCAACTTATATAATAAATTAAATGGTGTTATACCAATTATTGATACTCATAATGTGGATAATTTATTCATTTGCTGAAGTGAATACAATGAATCAGATCTAAAACAATAAAAACTTACATTCATTACTTATGAAATAAAAAATGAAACAACAAATCACAATACTGCCTAAACTTAACTATCTATATGAGGTCCAACTTAAATTTTATGTACTAATTATTGACCCTCATTATTATTTAAATTAATATCTATTGAATTGATTGTAAATATCTAACATTATTCATTTTTAATACTTTATTTATTTATGTGTGTATGAGTAAAGACTTACTCTGAGCAAATGAAAAAAAATAGCAATTGGAAATTAACTATTAAAAAAGACGCTTGTCTAATTAAAGTAGATGAGTAATTTGCACTCACAAGCTATTTTAAAAAAATTAGGACATCCCTGCAACTTCCCGCTCATTTTGTACTTAAGCGCTTAAAATTACACATTACGTATTCAAGTTTTTCGAGCTCAAAAATATGATTTTTGTGTCATTTTGAGCTCTTCGAGCTCAAAACTCTAATAGCAGTTTAATAAAACACAGTTTTTTGAATCTTCAAACGGCAATAACTTTTGAATAAATGAACCGATTTTCACGCGGTTGGCGGTATTTGACGCAGTTTTTGAAGCCCCGTAGGAATCTTCAAGTTTAAATCGATCGAGCCAGGAATTTCGAAGTAATTCCGAAAAAACACTTTTTTTGGTTTTCTTTCGACAACGATAACTCACGAACGAATCAACCGATTTTGACCAGGCTTGCGGTGATCGACGTGGTTTCTTGTTTTTAAGATCTGATTAGATTTTGGAATTGATCGGTGGAGCCATTTAAAAGTAATTCCAAAAAAACCACATTTCAAAAAATTTTTTTTGGTAGTTTTTTTGAGATTTCTCAAAATCCATTGGTTCGAATCGGTCCAAATGGCATTCAAAATCTAAGTTTAGTCAAGCCCTTTCGAATGGCGTCAACCGCGATGAAATCGGTCAAGCCGTTCAAAAGTTATAAGAGGGTCACATACATACATACACACATATACATACAGACATACGGACATCATCGCAAAAACTTTCAGGGAAGCTTTCTAGGACCTCAGAACGTCAAGATCTGATGAGGACTCGATTTTCGAAAAACGGGCTAAAACCAATAACTTCCCGATTTTTGAAAATTTTCAATTTTTTTAGCGCGAAGTTAAAAATTAACTAAACTATGTTTACTTGAATTCTTTACATTATAAAGATTTTATTAAAAAAGTATAGAATTGATATCAATGTCGAAGATAATTAAATAAATTAAAAGATAAAATAGGGTGCGAATAAAGTATCACGACAAAATACCCGAGAGAGAAAAAATTTCTATTATATAATAATAATAATAATAATAAATATATAATAATAATAATAATAATAATAATAATAATTTATTTTTGCTTACAGTAACTGTTGAATGCGACCCAGATAGAGGGTCTGAATACAACACTGAAAATGATACAGAAGATACTGGTGAAGAAGCTGCGCTACTAGGTTCTTCTGAATCACCATTGACCAATTCACCAGGTTCGATTAACCCTGGGGGTAATACTGATCCAATGAAATAATAAATTACGAACCAACGAGATTAGTGAATCGTAAAGATTAATCGCCGATAGTAATTTTAATTTAATTATAATTATGATAGTTAGTTATATACTTTTTTAGATCACTTTAGGCCAAATTTAGAATAGCTTCTCTTTGCAGTGCAATATTATCTTGTAGGATAAGCACAAAATAATATTGCAGTAGAGACTTTCTCTCAGCATGGCAGAGACTTAACCTCCACTTCCGGGACCTGTGATTTTATCATCGCAAAGTCAATTTATCTTTCAAACGTTATTTGAGATATTTAAGTAAACATTTTACATTATTTTTTTCGTTAATGCGTAAACTGTTTACTGGCAATTATACATGTTGAATAGGATAAGATACGGGATACAAACTATTGGAAATGTTATAGATATATTACAATTGTGACGAAGCACTTGTGAGAATAGTAGTGACATTTACCACAGAGTAACAAAGTAATTTTTTAAATATTTATATATATTTTAATAATTTTGTTTATAAAATTTAATTTACTTGTGTAAATTATAAATATTGTGATAGAGTCTGTGAATATCGAAATTCATTCACAGTGACAATATTCTTAATATGTAAATTTTATTTAACAAGAAAACGGCCTCTCATGGATTCGCTATAGCTTAACTCACTATTTTTATTTATTGATTTTTTTTTTTTTTCATTGATATCCTTTTTTTATTTATATATATCTACAAACAAAACGCAGAAATATTATCAATAATTAATAAGATTATTTATTATACCTTTCAGACGTCTCTTTTGATATAGTAAAATAGATATATAAATATATATTATTTCGATAAAATGACCATTTGAATTTAGTAAAAAATAAAGCGATATTTAAGTATGAATTAAAATAAAAAAAAAAAATAAAATAAAACCGACCATTTAAAACTTGTAAAATAACTTTTCGATAGAATATAAATAATGTACATGATAATAAAGAATAATTATATACAATATTATTATAAAACACTTTTGACAAGCAATTGCACGTGAAAAGTGCTTATTTATTTATTAATAAGACAAATACTGTATAAGCTCTGATAGACCAAATTAAATAAATTATTAAATGTACATTATACATAAATATATATTATACAATTATAAGAGAGGAAATTAACTTAACAATAATGACCAGAATTAAATACCTAAAAGATTTATGAAAAAAAAAAAACAGTTAATTCAAATCAATACCGTTTTTATATACATGTTATATTCGCCGCTAACTTATATACTAATTTTTAAAAAACTCAATATCAGAAATCGTAATAAACTAATGATAATTATTAGACGTAAAATTGATAGAGTTTCACAAAAATGAAAACTTATAAAAAAATATATTGCTTCGTATTTTTTTCTCTGTATCTAAATATGGCTTAAAAATATTGTACATTTTCTTAATTGATAATGACAAATGTCGTATAGTCAAAAGAATAAAGGTTATTATTTTTAACAAAAAAAAAAATCGATTTCTTATTCAACATAATCATAATACATCATAGTAGCCGGAAATTTAACTTGTTTTGGTTTCTCAATAACATTTATTTTTTTAAACCGCTTATTAATATTGTCGTCATGTACAACAACAGCACCACAATAAAATCGTAAAGAAAAATAGTAAATCAATTCGATAGTTGTTAAAATAGAATATCCTAGAAATAGTCCCATAATACCACCGAACGAGACAACAAGATCCAGCCAACCAAATCGTACTTCTCGTCTGTAGCGGACAAGCGGCCATCTGGCATCGACGACTGTTACATCACTGTTCACTATGGTCTCAAATATATAGGTGGTATGATTGCAATAGAGATAACAATCAGATGCACATTTTGGTGTGCGCAAGCGGTTTTCATTATCCGATAGGCATAAATATTGTTCTAAGCTACATTCCTCTAATTTATTTTTGCTGTAAAACCATGGGAGACATCCACATACTTTACGGATTGTTTTTTTCCTACACTCCATCATGCAATTGTTGTATGATATACCTTCATCATAAAATATACACTGTCTCTGAGAGTGGGTGAGAATACGCATTTCTTCAGAAGCATCGGTTACCGTCAATGACAACATAAATTCCATATTGCGTCTCATAGTATAACTTATCGGGCTCTCACGTTCAGGTATTTCTTCATCATTTCCGAAAAAATAAAGACTGAAAATTTGATCAATTAATTTTTGCATCAATAAAAAAACTATCCTGTTTTAAGAAAATAATCTTAATCTAAGAAACTTGTTTTAAATTCAACCGGTAGTCTTGCTTCAAAAATTCTTTGTCTTAAGGGGCCATGAAAAAAGATTTGATAACATTTTTATGAGATAATTTTTGGTGCATTGTTTTGAGCTAAATTTTGGACAGATTTTAATAAAATTTAAACCACATATAAAAAATAGAATAATAAAAGCAGGAAACTAATTCATTTATGAAATTTTTACAGAAAAAAAATTAATTCAAAAGAAAAATCGCAACTTTATACAGCCTACAGAAATCTACGTCGAAATAATGAATTTTTGTTTATTTTATGGAAACAATGATTATAAAAAAGAGTTCCCTGCATTCTTTGTCACTACTTAGTTATAAAAAATTTATAAAACCGATTATTTATAATCACAATTATTAATAATAACAAAAATTATCTCATAAAAATGTTATCAAATCTTCTTTCATGGCCCCTTAAGCATTGTCATCTTGGCTTAAGAGACCAAAATCTTCGGTCGAAAATGATTGTGACTTAATTCAAAAATATATCACCTTCGATCGACACAATTAAATTCTTCATCTAAGAATAATTTTTTAGAACTAAGAACACGTATTTTATTTAAAATCATAAGAAAATTATTGATTTTCATAGCAGGAAGTTAAAAATTTTTTTTTAATTAATATTTTTACTGTAGCATATATATTTTTAAACGTATTCAAGATTTTCTTATGGAATAAAAAACAGCAGAAATATGACAATATTGAGTTTAAAATTTAAATGCGAAATTTTTTAAACAAATCGGTTCTATCTAGATTCAATGTTACCGAAAAAAGCGAAAAAAGTTCTCGGATGAAGTATATGTGTATCTTGCTTAAAAACAGTCAAGTGTTTCAATAGAGTTCTTTTGAAGAACTTTTTGCTCATCCAAGTTTTAATTCAAAAGTTATTTTTTTGAATTAAGAAACCCGGTCATCTTAAAATTTTTAATACTTTTTGTTAATCAAGTAGTTTTTTATCAAGATAGAATATAAGTTTAATTCAATAACAAATTAGTGTAAACATTGTCTTACTTTACAAACTTTTTATAATATTGTAGAGTAAAACGTGATTTCATATCGTCGTTTGCAGAACGAGCTATGGCTGTCAAACTTTTACAACAAATTCCTGCAGGAGTCAACATTTTTTTAAAAATTTTTTTACAGTCTTGTCTGATCCCTCTGAAACATTGATATATGATTATGTACTTATTTTAACAGCAGTTGTACCAATGAAATTCATTAGGATTGTAATTATAATCACTGTTTAAAACAATCTGCTATTAAATTATCGCAAGATGGTGTTATTTGAAGAAATATATCACTTAATGACTGAGATAACTTTGGTGTAGTTACATTGACTATTGGTTTCCAATCCCAATTATAATATGACTTGTAAGTAATCCCCTCATCCTAATATCATGTACAATCAAAAAAAAATTTAAAAGATGTCGGTACTGGCAATTGTTTTCTGATATCATTAACTTACCTCAGACACTCGAGAAAGATCTAAATAATCCGACGTCATACAAAGATTTATACTCGGCAACGTATTTTCTGAATTCTCTTGTCCCACCACTACACCAGTTAAAGTTGGATTTGTAACAAATTTTTCAAAAATAGTAACTATTATTCCTAAAGCAGCACATAGTGATAAAACTGTACAAAGAAACCAGACAAATCTGTAAGTAAAAAGTTAATTATATGATTTATAATAAATTATATATTTAAGGTTGGTGTCTATTCTAGAGAGCGAAAAAAAAAAGCTTATTTTCAAAAGCGTTTTTTTTTAACTTCGTTAGTAGATATTTCAATAAAACTTTTTCCAGGACATCATGTTATCCGTATAGAATAGAAAAAAAATTCTCTATTTTGTCCAGCATTTTTTGACCAATTTTCAGGGTGTGCCAAAGCCAAATCATCAAAAAGAAAGTGTTCCCATCGCAGACAAAGTATCTCCGGATTAGCAATTTTGAAACAGAAATTAGGGACGACATTTCAAAGAGAAAGGTTCGCTATGCAGTAATTTACCACCTTTTGCCAAAAATTGATAACAGAAAAAAAATGGCGGCTTGAAAATAGGTCAATTTTTGTACAGTATTTTTTACATAAATACCATTATTTTTCTATTATCGATTTTTGGCAAATCCACAGATTCGGTAGAATCTGGCGCCAAGTTCCGTTCAAATCCGTTGTCAACGGAACACCAGACTACCGACTGTGTTTACTGTAAGCAGAACGGTATTTTGAGGTTGCAAAATTTTATTTAATTCTACGGTACTTTTTTTTCCTAAATTTTATATTATAACAGTAATTCATACTTTATTTTACTGATATTAATTAATTATATTTAATTATAACAATTAATCTACTTGAAATTAATAAATTTAATCAGCACAAACTATAGCAACGCAAAAATTTCGATCCTGACTTTTTGTCGATGGGCAAAGTGATCTGCCACAGACTAAAATATTCGAGAATGCATAGTAATCCTTCATCAGATGGGAAACTACAGTTAAAAAAAAGATATTTCACAGCTTGCATATACACCCGCCAGGGTGCACTGGAATTATTTTTACATAAACTGTAGCTTCAAAAGGATAGTTTGCTATAAGAAATGCAGCCAACGCGAGATTTAAGTTGATACCAACTGTAAATTTTTATTATAATTACAAAAAATACTAAAATCCGAACAAAAACAGTTTCACTGTAAAAAAAATCACGCCAAGTCCACGTTCA